CAGCGTCCAAAGTGGCAATCTCTTTCTCCAAATCGGATATGATTTTGAGCGTTTCGGACCGAGGCGGTTGCGTAGCGATCATTTTCCTGATCGCCTCACACTCCTCCTTATGCCTTCTTTCGATTTTACTCTCCTCAAGCTGCTTCTTCAGCAATTCAATGTTGGTCTGCGCTTGCACTATCTGCCGATTTATCTCCTCCCTCAACTCGTCGAAATTGTGCTTCTATCTGAGATTCGCATCCACAACCGCTTTGCTCTTGAGGAGCGGAATCTCGAAGGTGCTGAGCTCTTGGAGGAAAGCTTTGGCCAGCTTGTCTCAGTCGCCATAGTTGTCCTCATTCTTGTCGAGCTCGACGAACAGGGATGTGAACTTCTTCTGGAGCTTCTTCAATGGGGGTTCGCCTCTTGTGGTTGTTGTGGTTCGAGTGAGAAGTCTGTGCTTGATGATTACGTCAGCCTCTTGTGGTTGTGGTTCGAGTGAGAAGTCTGTGCTTGATGATTACGTCATCTTCGAGAGGCCCGAACGCGTAGTTGGCCGCCACGGCCTCTCCTCGCCCAGAAACCTTTCTTCCTTTTACCAGCATCGAAACAAACGTGGTGATTTTAGTGTCGGATAAATTCGATTTGCAATTCATCCTCAGAAACACAAATCTTAATTCTGTTTGTGAGATCAAACGGTGAAGGATGACGTTTGTTGTGTTTGCTCAAGGTTTATCGAGCGGTAGTGTATTACAACAACCTCCATCCAAAGTGAGGAGGTGTAGTTGGCCGCCACGGCCTCATCTGAAATCAAACCCCACCCCATCTGATATCCAGCCCCACCCCATCGAAAATTCTCTCCTCTTGCAGACACACCTCATCACACACCTCATCAGATTTACAACAACCTCCATCGCAGAACCATCAAAGAACCCATCCCTTTGCCATCGCCTCCAGCGCAGAACCATCGAAGAACCCATCCCTTTGCCATCGCAGAACCATCTTTTCTCACCACCGAACCCCCATCTCTCCAAACCACTGAACCCCATTGCACAACCCAGCAAACCCGAACCCATCTCCGAAACAGAACCACCGAACCCATCTCTGCAAACCCGAACCCATCTCTTTCAAGTTTTCACAAATCATTCGAAGAGCCAAGGTTTGATTTCAAATTTGATTTCTATATTTACGTTTCTAAGTGTTGATTAAGCCTACGTTTGATTTCACTTTTGAAAAGCCAAAGTCTGATTTTGATTTTGATTTTGATTTCAACGTTGTGGGTAGTTCGAACCTGGTTTTACGAAACTGGATTCTAGTTTCGGTGGATTACCACCGAAATAGTTATATTGATTAAGTAGTAGTCCACCGAATTTGAACCTGAGTTGTACGAAAATTTATTTTACTTTCGGTGGGTTACCACCGAAACTGTTACCTTGTTTCGGTGGTAGTCCACCGAATCTGTTTCTATTTTTCAGGGGACTCCCACCGAATTTCTTTCGGTTTTTCAGTGGTACTCCACCGAATATGTGTTCTTTTTCCAGTGATAGCCCACCGAATTTATTTCCGTTTTTCAGTGATTATGTACTGAATACGTTACTGAGTGTGTACTTAATATTTCTTATTATTAGATATGAAGAGGACTCGTAAAGGTACTACTGAAGCTTCATCATCCCGACCAAATAGACAGCGTCCCACGGCCTCAACGAGGAGACAGAGAGCGGCTCCCCAAGATCACATTGAGGATACTACAGAGGTTGAAGATGTAGTTCCTACTCATGATAGTAATGTTGACGCAGAGGTTGAAGATGTAGCTGCTACTCAGGATAGTAATAGGCCTCATCATTTGGCCCACGGGCTCATGGGCCGATGGGGGCCCGCCCGGCCCATTGGAAAAAAGCCCGGCCCGGCCCGTTATGGTCTTTGAGATGGCCCGGCCCGCCTTGGGCCGGGCTAGGCTTGGGCTTGGATGTCTGAAGCCCGGCCCGGCCCATAGGCCCGGCCCGATTAAGCCCAAGAAAGCCCGGCCCGGCCCACCCACAAAAGCCCGGCCCGTTAGGCCCGCATAGATATATAATTATGTATAAATAAGAGTTTAGGATTAGGATTATATCACTTAAATCACATATATAATTTGTTTCATTTCATTTACTTTTCTTTACTCATTCCTAGTTTATAATTGGATGATTAGCACATTAATTTGTGTCAATTATTAATACAACAATTATA